GGGGGGGAGCTGGTGTGTGGGTGCGTGCGCTGAGAATTGGACGGAGGCGAGCGAAGCAGGCGCTGTGGCAGCACCCCGACTGGCGGGCGGGTCGGAGGCGCCGGCAGCACTCCTCGCCTTGACGAGTCAATTCACGCCAACTGACGCGGTCACCCACATTTCGACGATTTGCTGCAGGGCGCTGGCCCTCAAGCAGATTTCGAACCGTGACGTGCCGCGGGTCGTGCTCAAGGAGGCCGGCGCCGGCTGCATGATGGGTGCGTGCGGGAGAGAGGGAGCGCCTTGTCGCGCGCAGCAGCCGCAAGGAACGCCACCGCCCGGCAGGGCGCAGTCAGGCGCCTTGCTCTGGTGGCGCCTGGGCAAGATCACCGCGGCAGCGCCTGGGCGCACGCTGTCAGTTGGCGGGCTGTTATTCCGCGCTAATGCTTTCTGCGCTGACGCGGGGGCTTCGGTTGCGCGCGCGCAGGCGCTGTCCTGGGCTTGGCCATCCTGGGGTTCTCCTGCGTGTGGTCGGGCATATCCACTGAGGTTGGCGCCGCGGTCGCCATCGCCCTGCCCGTGAGTTCCATGTTAATGAAGACGTAGGGGCGGCGGCCGGTGGGCGGGGCGATGACGTGCCGCCTTTGGCTGATTCGGCGAGTTGCTGGGCAGGGTCGGATGGCCTGGGCGGCACCAGGGCTGGTGGTCCCACACCGGGGTTGGGAGGCAGCCTGCCTGTCGAAGGACAGACAGCCGGGCCGTTTGTAGCGGGCAAACGCCAGCCGTGCCGCGTTACGGAAATTGCGGCCGCCGCGCCCCATCCTGCAGCCCACCGCTGACGACCCGCCTGCGACCCGCCCCGCGTGCTCTCTGCCCCGCCCCCCATCAGCTCGTGTCCCTCTGGGCTAACGGCCTGGGGGCGTTTTTCACGCTGCTGGCGGACAGGCACGGGTGAGAATCCCCTTCCTTTGCCTTTGGTGCACTGCTCAGCGGGCGCTGCACCTGCCCTCTGGTGCTGCTGGGGTTGCCTCTTGCCCAGCGCGCTTGGGGCCCCACCTCTTGCACTCACCACACTGACACAACCCCAACATGAACCATACACACAACCACACCCGACAGGTTCGACCCCGCGGTGACATCAGTACCGCTGGTGACCACCATCGTAGACAGCACGGTGAGCCACTCACACAACCATCTGCAGGCCGGCCACGCCCGAGGCTTGGCGGCATTGCTTGCCAAACCCGCCAACGGCTGACAAAAGCTGCAGTCAGGGCACGTTGACAGCCGCGAGAGCAGACCTAGACCTAGATAACGTTGCTGCACTGGCAACAAGCCGCCCAATACCCTCGAACATCTATTCTTGCCTTGCGTCATCCCCCTCCGCGTCGCTGCCTCCCCTCCCCGATCCTATTCCAGGGGCTTGTCCTTTACTTTTACACAGCTCAGGTCATTCTGGGTATGACACCTGGGGATGCCATCATGTGATGCGCCCTGCGCCCTGCGCGCTGATGTGGCCTGTGCTCAAGGTCAACAACCCCATCTCCCTGGGCCCCCCGGCTGGCTGCCGGGTGCTCGTTGCCGCCTGTCTTCCTGCGTCCTTCCCTTGCCGCCGACCTTGTATCAACCAACCAGTGCCGCCAAACAACCGCATTTGGACCCAGCACTGCCCCCAACCTGCACCCACGTTTGTGCGTTTTGCATGAAGCCCGCCCTTCTGTTTAGGGGCCACCCCTGCCATGTTCGCCGGGCACCACCCATACGTTTTGTTGTGATGGCGAGCGGGGGCGCCCCAGCTTGACAACGGTTCAGTGTTCTGTGCCGCCGGGATAGCGCAGGGATACGACATCATAGTGCAAGCCTTGCCACCGCCCCTTGCCGGAATAACAATGTGTGTGCGCAAGTGTTGTAGTTTGGTGTAACCATGTTGTCATCAAGTTGGCCTGCTGCATCGCTTTTCAACGCATGATGGGCTTATGGAGGCTGTAGCCTTTGTGTCCACGGGCGGATGAATGTCATGGCTGAGGGCGCACTAGGCAGTCGGATAGCGGCCAGAATTCCCACCATGAGCTGCGACGGCCGTGCGCATTGTGCCAGGCATGCTGGACAGGTTGGCAACATGCGCCTCTCTGCTGCCAGTTGCACCTGATCCCCCAGTTTTGCTGATCGATGCCTCAGCAAAGGGCGGCGCAGTCCTTTGTATGAGAAACAAAGGTGCATGGCACGTCCATGGCACTGATGTGCTCACATGCGCTACCTGTATCTTCAATAGTCTTTGAGCTCGGGGCCGGCTGGCTGTCCTGCCATGGGGCACTGGTACAGTGGTTCAGGGCAGGCTGGCTTGAAGATATGGTTTAGCAGCTGCGCTCCCGGAACTGATCACAGCAATTGTATGTCTGCATTCAGCAGCTGGCCTTGGAAGGGGCTGCGCCCTTCATCCGCTCGGTGACACCGCCTGCACGAGAATCGAGGCCCCACACCCATACCAGCCCTTGCCTCAGACAAGGCCTTGACTGCAGTCGCATCAACCACAAGAGCGGGCTGCAGCTTGCGTGACATTCATGGCTTGTGCCAAATGCAGTCGTCAGGAATTGGCCCGCATCGACGCCAGTGTCACGACCTTCGTACACAGGTGTTGAACGTCTGTCGGACATGACGTATTGTGGACCAGCACCTGCCGTCTGGTCGTTACCGGACCTCCCAATCGCCGCCCTTACTGCAGACTGGAGGTGCCCATCGAGAACTCGCGAAATACCGGTACACCCTGCAGTGTTCCTCTTGGCCTTCTGGCACTGCTTGTTTTCGAAACACACGCAACCATGGCGGTGCTGATCTCGCGCGCGAAATCAGCAGAATATGTTGAATGATGATGGTACAAATTCAATCAGGCTACCACACTCATGGCTCGCTTCTTTCAGCAGGGTATGACTTGATCGCGGCAGCGCGACGCTGCTGCTCGTGCTGGGCGCATGGCGGCGCAGGGCACCAGCGTGATTGGCGTGATCGGCGACACTGCCCCTCCTGGCGCCACCCGCGACGGTCACCGGCACCGTGTGCTGATGGTCAGTGACTTCTTCTATCCAAACTTTGGTGGCGTCGAAAACCACATCTACCAGCTGTCGCAGTGCCTGCTGGCAGCAGGGCACAAGGTGAGCACTTGATAAAGCGGCAGCTGCTCAGGCGTGGCCAAGCCTAGGCAGCCGCTACAGCCGCCAGTTTTCTGATTCCCCAATCAGTGGACGCATTTCCCCTTGGCAACAGCCCGTCGGCCCGCCACGCACAGCCACAAGCACTCGCTGCAAACGCCGGGGCTGCTGCCGCCGCCGCCGGCGCCGCCGCTGCTCACCACGGCTGCAGGTGGTGGTGATGACTCACGCGTATGGCGACTGTCAGGGCGTGCGGTACCTCACAAATGGCCTCAAGGCGAGCGCCACTCATCCCTCACCCACCCTGCATGCGGCGCTCCAATCCCCAGCGCCACCGCGGTCCCGTCCGCAAGTGCCCTTTACAATTCCGCGTACATTTGAGCCGCAACCATTGTATGCTGGCTTTGCAACCACCACCATGGCTTTGAAAGCAGCTGCCGCCCCGCCCGGCCACAGGTTTACTACATTCCGCGGCGCCCCTTCTACGCCCAGAGCACCCTGCCCACAATCGCCGGCAACATGCGGCTGCTGCGTGCCATCTTGGTGCGAGAGGGCATCACCCTGCTCCACGCCCACCAGGCCTTCTCGGCGCTGGGGATAGAGGCGCTGGTGCACGCGCGGACGATGGGGTACAGGGTGCGGCGGGCGCGCGCGAGGGCGCCGTGCGCGTGTGGCTGCGGGTGACTGTGTATTGGAAGCTGCCAGGTTTAAGATGCCTGCCGTGTTTGTCGTGCACGCGCGCGGCTTCAGGCGAATATTCATCGAGGCTTTTTCACGTGCTCATGCTTCCCGGCCCCTCTCCTGACCCCTCATCGCCCACTTTGCCCTACCGCCGCCCCAACCGCCGCTGCAACCGCCACCGACGGCCCCCAAGGCCGTCTTCACTGACCACTCGCTCTTCGGCTTTGCCGACGCGGCCTCCATAGCCACCAACAAGATATTGAAGGCCGCCCTATCGGATGTGAATGCGGTGATCTGCGTGAGCCACACGAGCCGGGAGAACACAGTGCTGCGCGCCTGCCTGCCGCCGGCGCGCGTGAGCGTCATCCCGAACGGTGGGCGGGCCGGGGCGGGGCCGGGGGCGCGGACCGGGCTGGCTGGCAGCGCGGGGGGTCGGGGGCCGAGCCCCTGAAAACGGCGCCGTCTGCTCGGCATCGGGTACGTTCACACCGCGTGCGGCTGGTGATGCTTTGGAGTGGTCTGACCTGCAAACACAACACCATGCTGCCTTTGCATCTGCAGCGGTGGATGCGAGCGATTTCGAGCCGCCGAGCGACGGGGAGGAAGGCCAGGGGGAGCGGCGGCAGGCAGGGCAGGCGCAGGCGCAGCAGAGCCGGCACGGGGTGGGTGGGCGGCGTTCGCAGCAATCACCCCCCGCCGCGGGCAAAGGCACGGGCGGGCAGCGGCAACAGCCCGCCCAACAGGAGCAGCAGCAGACGAACGGCCACACGGTCCTCCGCCGCAGCGCCCGCTTGCGCGCAGCGGCGGGCGCCGCCGCTCCTGCTCAGCGGCAGCCTCGACATCATCACCACCAGCAGCAGCAGGAGGAGCAGCGGCGGCAGCAATCACGGCAACAGGAGCATCAGCAACAGCAGCATCAGCAGCAGCAGCAGCAGCAGCAGCAGCAGAAGCCAACTGCGGACGAGGGTGGGGAGGAGGACAAACTAGAGGAGCAGCCGCGCGACGGGGCCCTGCTGCCGCCGCTGACGGTGGTGGCCCTGAGCCGCCTCGTGTACCGCAAGGGCATCGACCTCCTGGCATTGGTCATCCCAGAGGTCTGCGCCCGGCACCCCAACGTGCAGTTTGTGATAGGTGAGAGGGGGCGGATGGGACAGCGGGCCGAGCCGCCTTTCCCACACCGCGGCGGCGTCTGCCCCACTGCCACCGCGCCTGGCCAATGGCACGGTTCGAAAGGCTTCCCGGTTCCCTTGCGGGCGGCCGCCGGGACAATGATGGTGTTGCTTGAGCAAGTGATTAGACATGCAACTCAATCGACGTTTGCAGTTGCTCAGAGCGGCGGTACGTGAAAGCGGCAGCACGAGACAGCGGCAGCGTATGAAATCACCAGTGACTGCAAGCGGCAGCGTGTGGGCAAGGTCTGGCGGCGGTCCAAGCGCGCCTCGCCGCCCTCTGCCTCGATTGACCAGGTGGCGACGGCCCCAAGCGGCGGCTGCTGGAAGAGGTGGTGCGGCAGGGCGGGCTGGAGGGGCGCGTGACGCTGCTGGGGGCGGTGCCGCACGAGAGGGCGCGAGAGGTCCTCATACGCGGCCAGGTGGGCGGGAGGGGGGTTCCTTGTG